AATTAATCAATTCACATTGTTTTTGTCATACAGATAATTACGATAAAATTAGAAAATATCTGGATACTTCTTCAGGTCATACGGTTTGTTGTTTAATAATGATCGTTTTATGAAGTTTATCTATCAAAGACATTTGTATATTATGATGATTGTCATAATGTTAATAAACAGTTTATACCGATATGATTAAAAACTATACTTTAGCCAAAACTAAATGTGAATTACATTTAATTATTTATTAAATATTTAAGTAGGTAACTTAAAGAGTAAAGAAACTTACCATCAAATGTATCATAAGTCTCATGTTAATTATAGATAAAATATCTTTATCTAGTGATAGAAGAATAGAGTGATGTGTTGGTACTTTATTCATTAAAGAAATTTTATTTGAATGGAAACTACTAATATAGGACAATAAAGTTATAATTTAATATTTAAGTTATTTTGTTATGCAGTTTTTATGTATTACTATCTATTTTAAGTAAATGAACCGGATTTTGCATATTATGTATGTTCATATTTTTATAAGCCAATTGCATGCAATAAATGGCTTTCTAATCAACTAAAAAATACATTACAAACTTTTATTTTGTCATATTTGGTTCAGTGATACTTTTATAAAAACATGTTTTATACATAACGTATACATAAGTATAAATTTATTTAATTTTATAATTGTATGAACATTATTTATATACATTTTCCATCAATACAAAATTGAAATATTTTGTTTCGTATTAGTTGAGTAGGTAGGAGGTTGTCGATTTTAAATATGCGCCCATAACAAGCGTTGATGTGGAACAGAGTTTTCTATATAAACATATTCTCACAAATGTCACGCCGTCATAATTTAACCGAGATCAATATGGAATATATTATTGTTACATATTGTTTTTCTAATATCGAATAAATTAAAATTTTTTTCATTTTTATCATCATTATATAATATAATAATATTGTAGTTTATTTATATTTTTATAATTTATATTTTGATTTTATAACTTTACAATGAATAAATAGCTGTATAATCAAAAATTATTTTGCATATTTTGCGTTTTTTCTTGCATATTTTGACTTTTTATAGTGCATGTTTGCATGCATATTTTACAATTTAAAATGCATATAAATCCGGTCTCTATTTATAAGCGTATATTTTATCTGTATGTCTTAAGTGATAAATCACATTACAATAATATATCAGTAAAATTTATTTTTAAATTTAAATACAATTTTAATATTATTTGTTATATTTTAGAATCCAAAAGGTAGTTCTGATGGATACAACCAAACCAAAAGCCAATACCCTCTCAAACATTCCCAGATCACTAAAAAGAAAAAATTGAAAATTATGTATGAAACCAATTTTAAATTTAATTTTAAAATTCAATTTATCAATAATAATTACTTTTTATATATGATACTTGAATTTTAATGCATATTTTATTAAATGATTTTCATGAGATTCATAATATTTAGAACTTAGAGTAACAATATTTATGTATACAGAATTAAGCTTTGTTGTTTATATTTGGAAAATAATTCTATATACACTTGAAACATATAACATTATACCATATTATTAAAAATAATTATGAAAAAAAACTATGTGCACTTAAATATAGTTAAATAAATTTAGTATTTTATATTTTTATAATAGAATTATCAACATTATCAAAATTATCAAAACTTAATAAATCAAAAATATACTAACCCAAATTATACAAAAAAACCTGAACAGATTCCTATTAAATACTGGTTAATGAGACATCCGTTATTTACAAATTTTGACTGCGGTATTCATTTGGGCGCTGGTAATTAAATTATATTATTTTTAACATGTTGATTGCACATATTTTTTCATATAATTTCTTTCTAAATAATATACATGTATTGAAATAATATAGAGTAAGTGAGTAAAGTTAAAGTATATACATTTATATTTAGACATACCCTATAACTTGGAAGACATTAATTGGTAAGCATGGAATGTGTTAGATTTTACTTTTAGAAACTATATTTTATTTTACAGAAAACTTTTACTCAGTGTGTCCAGAAGTATTAAGCCGTCATATAGCAAAACGTTGTAAAAATAAAATAGTGTTGGATCCTTTTTGTGGAGCAGGCGGAAATATAATCCAACTAGCAATGACATGCAAAAAAGGTATTATTAGTACAATGTAATATAATAAGTATAATTAATTAAGTATATTAATAAAATTATTTATATTTAGTTATAGCAGTTGATACTGATCCAATCAAGATACAATTAGCACGTCATAATGCCGAGATCATGAACTAAGATATATCTTAGTTCATGGCCGAGATATATGGTGTTGCTGATAAAATTGAATTTATAGTTAGTGACTTGTTTTTAATTTATCCAAAGTTAAAATTTGATATAGTATTCATGTCACCACCATGTGGAGGACCAGAATATTCAATTAATAAAAGCTATAGTATTGAGTCTATGTGCCCCGATAATTTTGGAGGAAGTTTTGGTATTTTCAACATTGTTAAAGCTATAGCGCCTAACATAGCATTTCATATGCTGAAAACTACAAATATATTTGAAGTAAAATACTTGATTTATGGTGTTAAGTATAAACTAAACTTAATATTATAATTTTTTAGTACATGCGGACCATGCGGTTGGGAAGTGGTTTTGGAAAAGTGGAAATTCAGCAAAATATTATTAATAGAAAGCTGAATTCACTTACAGCATTTTATGGAAACTCCCACTGGAGTAACTGACAGTTGTCAGTGATTATTTAACATTGTTTACATTTAATAATTTATTATTTTTTATTACTTAGAATTAAGCTATTTTCTTCAACATTTTAATATAACAAATTAGTAATTTATAAAATCATGCAATCATTTTTTATTTTATGTTAAAAAAATTAAAGATGAATAAAAATGATGGCAAAGGTAAATATGACGTAAATCAATTTGACATATAATTTTTGACTTTTAGTATAAAATATAATAGTTGAATTGTCTCAAATATTTCAATAGAAAATGAATAAATAAATTAAATACTTAATATTTATAGGACATAAGCCCATAAATTAATATTTCTACTTCAATTATTTTGTTTTATTTAATATTCAGAAAAAAGAAAGGGAAAATGAAAATTAGTACATTGGGGGAAGCTTAATTTAAAAACAAAATTTCAACTATTTATGTATATTTTTTTAACTCACTGATATAAAACAAAATTATATACATAAAAACAATACAATTGCTCTAATTTTAAATTAAATATTATAGTTCATTATAATATTGACTGTATGGTTATTATATAGAATATAGTCAACTCTATAAGATGTGTATGTTTTTCATTAAAAGTATTTAATCAGCAACATCATTTAATTAAAAAAAAAATAATACAATAACAAAATATCTAAAAATGATGTATACATATAAAATACTATACTTACAGCGAAATCTTATAAAGATTAAAATATTTACCTTTACTTATGGAATCTACTATACAAACTATACAATAAAAAAAAAAAAAAAAAAAAAATGAATGATTTATTTTCACACTTTATCATCATTTCTTAATTCATCCATTTTATTAGCAATATTTCTTTCCATTTCAGCTTCAAATCGCCATCTCCAATAAGCTGCCTAAAATTGAAATGATAAAAATTAATTTTTAAGGTTAAAAGACGTTTTAATTTATATTAAGAAAATATATTTACTTTAGATCGATCCCATAATGCTTCAAATGAATCTAGAGCTGGCCTTACATCTAAAATAGCCACTTGATATTTATTTGGTGAATTGTCTGCACTGTAATAATCAATAACATATCGTACTTCTTTACCACAACGATCTACTATCCAATCATGTCTGTCAAAAGGTAATTCATATCCCATCCAATTCCTTATTCTTGCTCTTGGAGAAAAATGTTTAGCTTTACCCCCAAAACTTTTTAATTTTGGATTCATACATTCATTTGCATGGAATGCTTCCCATTTTAATACCTCTCGCCAAGCAAGCTCATTATTGATGTTATGTATTTTAATTATGACGTCCATATCTTTTTGTGATAAATCATCATCTTTCCAACGCCACCCTTTTCGCAACATTGCATTCCAAAACATCTAAAAGATTTCAAGTAGGTTTTAACAAAAATTTTTCATAACATATATAAATATTTATATTTTTTATTTTACTTGAGCTGATGGATAAACCCAAAATTCGCCATCTCCTTCAGACTTTGGTATAGTAGATACTTCTCGTTCAGTTGGTAGTGGAAATGGTTGATCCGGTGCTGGTTTTTGATTTGGAGGAGGCATCTATGAATACAATGCATAAGTACAAAGAGATTTAATAGTTGATTTTGAGTTATTATAAATATATATATAATATAGTAATAGTTAGTAAATTTATCACAATATTAATTTTATCATAGTTAATATTTTAGGTTAACTTAGGTATAACTGACAATTGACCAATTGACAAGTTACCAGAACTGAGAGTACTGTTAATATTATAGTTTGCAATAGTTTAAAAAAAAAAAATGAACTAATAGTGATTAATAAATGACTTCCTACAAAATATCTAAAACAAATATCTATAAGTATATAGATATAAATATACTATATTATATTTATAAACAAATAGTAAACGAAAAATAAATTTGACTATAAAACAAACAAAATTATAGTTTAATCTATTGTATTTATTTTTTTGTTATATAATATGTTATAGACAAGTAAACTATCAGGAATTATATATAATAATATATTATATTAATTGGGTATCATAGTACTGTGATTTTGATAGACAATATTGGCTATATGTATAGAATTGCACAATCTAACTTAGACAATGTAAATAAAACGATTATTTTATAAGATTAAATTTGAAAACCTATAATAAATTTTAATTATTTTTATTTCGAAAAATATATTTTTATCAAACTACTTTATTTTTAATAAAATTTTATCAAATGATAATTTTCTATTTTAACAGTTTAAGTTAAATTGTACAGTCAAAGTATACTTTGACTAGGCTATATATAACATTACCTGTAACATATATATATATTTATAAATAAGTTGGCTTTTTGCCATGTATTTAGATTCAATCTATACTTGAACCTAATTGAAATGCATATTACATATACACTAGGTACTTAACGATACTTTTTCATTATTATCACCAAGACTAGAAGTTACAATTTTTAGAATTTGTGGATTCAATGGGTATAAGATATTATCCATTTAACTATAATTATCCAAATTCAGTATACCACACTAAATCATACATAATGTTTACCATGTTTAATGGATTAATTTCATCTGGGTTTCCCGCTACAGCACATCCAGCGGCTTTTTTATCATCTGCTTTGACATGCATTGGGCATTCAGGGGGTGGGCTCATACCAGCTGTATTGGTGAAACCGTGAGGATTTTTAGGTACATCATTGTTATTTGTTTCGTTCTGTGGGACGAATGTCTGCGCCATAAGTTTTTGAGCTCCAGAAACCGTATTTCCCATTGCTAAGTACTCGTCAAAAACAAATCTAAAAGATGTAACGTCAAAGGTATGAAATATCAAAATTATAAATTAATTTAAATATGTTTTAAAGACGTTTACCCACTCACACGTTGATCGATAGAAAATTTTTATGTTGATTAGGTCAAAAGTTCAGTGGTTGGAAATTTGGAATCTTGATTTCCCGATCTGAAAAAAATTCACATCTTCTGTATAGATAATCGTTGAACAAAAATCATAGATGATAGGCGTTCGGTCGTGTTCCGTACTTCTGTGGGTAACAAGTAACAATATCACCAAAATTCGAAAAGGCGTAATTTTTATTCGAACTTCGAAGAAAATTTTCTAACCTATATCACTTCTTCTGTCAAAGATATCTACTCGTGCTCATGCGTCTATATAATCATCATGGAAAAATGATTGATATGTTATCTCATAGTACTAATCACTAACGTTTTGTTTATTATCGCACATCAAATTATACACTACCAATAATACCTACTACTACTACAGCAATAATACTACGAGTTACAACTACTACTCAATACTCATTAGTTATTAGTGTTATTACAATAATTTTACCATCAATGAACCATCTTTTTTCTTTCTTAATTTCTTTTTAAAATGTTATCAATATAATAATAATAATAGGTATGTCTCGTCGTTTGTGCAGTCTAATTCGATACTCCGATCTATCCGCCGGTCCATCGTAGTTAGACATTCTCGCACCCGAGGAGATGAGAATAAGACAATTATTGGATTATTATCTTACTGATTTGTCAATCGTTTTTAACTCGTAAATCGTGTTAGGTAGTGGGTGTATAGTAAAATTAAAAAAACACTTGGTCAACGGAATTACGAATCAAAAATTCAGTACACTGACCAATCATCAATACCTAGTGTTTTATAAAAATCATAACTGTGTATGAAAATGTCCGTATCGTCAGACTCAATAATTCACAAACTGTTTAACCGTCAGGTAAATAAATATTAAAAAAATTTTTTTTCATTGTTTTAATACACTTAATATCAAATATTACATTTGTGTGTGGTGTTTAAAAACCACAAATTGAACACTCATCATCTTGATTAGTATACTTTCTGTACAAGTTGTACAATCAATAGTCATCCTAAATACCTTGTTGATCATTTTACATAAATTAATTTATGTTATGTATGTAAGATGTGTATGCACAAAATGATTACATATTAAGCACTTAAATAAAATTACAAATAATAGGTTTAAGTTTTTTAAATCGTGGAAATGTTAAACCAATTTATCTTTTATTCTAGTGCCATTTTTAGTACCTAACCATTATTATTTCAATGTTTAACTTTAAAATATCTTGGTTACTACATTAAATTAATTTTATTTATATCAGTAGATGTGCAATTATATCAAATTATCTTTAATTATATTTCATAACAAGTAACTATCATTTAAATTAAATTTATCTCTTAGTCTAGGTACATAATGTATAAGTATAATAAAATATATCAAAAGTAGTTCAAACTTTCATTTGAATAATACATTTAATCACAACTATTATGTATGAACTATATAAATGTTAATTGTCATAGTTTTTTCCTAATTTGTATAAAATTAGTGTTCATTGATACTCATAAATTCAAAAAAAATATTAATATTGATTGATTCATATTTATTATTATTTTACAAAATATTGCAAGAGTATCTTCTAGGTTTACTTAAACTTTAATGTGTTGATTATTAGTCTACAAAAAAGTATTGGTTAATAATTTATGTAATTATGTTGTGATTTTAGGTTCATGGTACTTTTAAATACAAACATAAACCTCAAAATAATACAAGATATTTATTTAAAGACAATCCAGAATATGGCAAATTTTTCTTACCAGATATCTTAGAAGACATTTCTGAGTTAGTATATAAATCAAATTTTTTTTGTTCCTTTAAACTATTAAAATGTATTATTATTTTTTTTATATTTTGTTTTAGTCATGTATTTATGGGTTTAACTCGATGTGGTCGATTTCTCTTAACTTACTCAATAGCAGACTCAGAGAATATTGTTATGGTTGATGGTCCTCTTATGTCTTCATTGAACATGAAGTATAAATTACATTTTTGGGCTTTTCAACCAGGTCAAACAGCTTTCAGAGTTTCAGAAGTTGTATTATTTGAAAACGCTGAGTTTAGTGATTTTTTGAATATTTACATTGTTCAATGGCCAAACCGCTCTGATAGAATCGTAGTTTTCGGTGAAAGGTATATACTTCTATTGAGTTAAATAATACTGATATTAAGTATTTTTCTTTATTTATATAAATAGTGTAACTTCTGAAGATGATGATAGTGACATGCACAAAATTTACATTACTGTCACCACTTTACCATCTTTGAATAACTGTAAAGATTGTCAATCAGTAGCTCGTGAACATAGAGATGAAGGTATGTAAAGATTGTATATCCTTGTTTATTTTTTATTTTATATAAACTACAAATTTAATTTGTGTATAGATATTTCGAAGTATTACTTGGGAAACACATGTCTGGTTCATGGCCTTACCGTACACACATCATTCACAGTGTCGCATCCTTATCCTCAATTAGAGCCTTCAGTGTCGTTGAAATATGATGATCATATTGTGCTCAATACGTGTAACTTTATTCACGTTTTAAATATTGATTTGGATAAGAATCAAAATTCTAAATCTGATAAATCAGAAAACATTAATGTTCCATTAGTTCACAAGTATATATTAAAAAAATATAAATTAGTCACTTAACTTCTATTAAGCAGTACATTTTCACTTACAGGCTTAGTAATGATTTGACTGAATTTGGTTATAAAATGGCAACTAAAAGTGACAGTCAAGAAAGAGGTGTCAAAAGGAGACATATTGATACAAGATGTTTTGTATGTTAACCTAAAATAAGAAATGTATTTTAAATCTAATTTTAATGTTAAATATTTTTACTGTAGTTTGATAAAGAACAAGATATGCCAATAGCTGCTCTAAATGCTATGCCTAATTATAATAACCATCGTCTTTTAAGGATGAAAGATGCCGAAAAGGTAAATAACATTGAAAAGAATAATATGCTTTTTATTTCTGACTATTAATCTAATTTTATGTTTGTATTGTTTATGTGATAGGTTTATGATTTTGATGAAAATGATGATAGTTGTTTGCTTAAGTTTAAATGGTTTAGGCGTCGAAGAATAGCAGATAAAATGTATGAATTTTGTTCTGAAGAAGAAGATATGGAAAATGTACATCCATCATCAAAAAAAAGCCTTTTTCAACGCTGTGAATCCCCTGGACCTTCAGCTGTGGATCAAACACCTTTATACATTCAAACAGATTATGAAGATGATATATTAAATGACTGTGATAGAAAAATGTTATTTGCTCAAGAATTAAATGCAATCATTGCCGACTGGGATTGTTTATCATCACCACGTTCAGTTACCTCTGAAGATAGAGACATTAAAAGTCCTGATATTACCAACAGAAAGATTACTAATGTGCTCAAACCAAGAAATAAAACTCCATTGTTTAAAAATTCCAAAAGTCCTTGTGATAAGAAAATCAGTGTTATGCTTGTTCCTGATAATATTCAAGGTAAACCATGTTTATAAATACAGCTTATAAAGTTTTATTATTTAAGATAAATTTTTTTTTTACTTTATACAACTTGATATTGATAAATAGGAAATCAATCAAATAGTTCATTCCGATCCGTACCATTACAAGGATGTTCAGTGAAATTTGAAAGACAGTACATTGAAGTAGATGAAGAAATTGTCTCAGTTACTACAGATTTAGATGGTAGTTTTATTATTCTTCATTTTTTTATAACTCCCAAAATAGAAAAAATATTGGTTTTAAATATTTTTGACTTAAATGTTTTAACTTTGATTAATTATTAATATATTTTGATAACCATCGCTTAATTACTTAATATTATAAAATTACACCTAAAATATTAAGTTGAATTATATAACCTGAGTTGTATGAAATAATTCAGGCAATGGACTTAGTATTTTTGACTTTTATGACAAAGATATGTAAAATTTCACTTTTTATCAAATTATAAATAACATTTATTAATAGTTAAGAATAATTTATATATAAATTAATTACTACAATAATCTTTAGATTGTAATGAATTACAATTTATAATCAATTTAATTTAATATACATTTATACAGTCTTTATTTTTGTTTTGAAATTGTAGAAGAAGATGGTATAACAGGGTCTTTGTGCGCACTTCCATTGTCTGTGCATGGGTCTGCTTCTGCTCAAATGCAAATGATCAATACTGCCAAAATTGGAAAACCGGTATTTATGCTAATCTAAAAAAAATATATATATTAGTAATGTTTAGTATTAAAGTTTTTTAATGTCTTTAATAAAATTTCTATTTGTATTGAAACATTTACATTACGTTATGTTAATTAACATAGTTATTTTTTCTTTAGGAAAAAAATGTTTGTGTTATAAAACAGGCAAGTTTAGATTTTGAACATGTTAGCTATAAAGTGGCTGAAATTATTTGCAATCTAGAAGGTCACAAATTTTGGTGCTATAACGACTATGACTCTTCTATTGTTGATGTAAATATAAGTTTATTATGTTCAATTTGAAACTTAATATTATATTTTAATTAAAATATATTAAAATATTTTTTATTAGATTTGTCCATTAAATGGTGACATTTTAATTGTATTGTGTATAAGACTGAACACAGAAGAGGAGAAGAAACCCATACCTCTTTGTCAACCAGTGAATAGCAGGTACTTTTGAGTTAGGTGCTCAGGGCTGGATTTATGCATAGACTATATAGACTACAGCCAGGGCCCCTTATTACATGTCATAAGCCTAAAATAAATATAAACGTGTAATAGCTTCGTTAATAATAATTGTACATGCACTATTTTCATTATATTTCAACAACAAATGGTTCTTCTTTATCTATTCTCCAGTTAGTTTGTTTCTTACCTTAGCAATGAACTAAATCAGTTAAAGCTTTTAATAGAAAATTTTAAAAAGATGACAAAGAAAATGAAAAAGTTATGCCAGGAGATGTGGATGTATAAACTGCTCCTAGAGAAAAATGTCAAAGATTGTTATCCTAATATTGAGATAGTTTTAAACATTTACATGTAGCTTATATTCATCAACAGCAGTGGAGAAAGGTCATTTTCAATATTGAAGTTGATCAAAAACAGGCATTGAATATCTATGACAGAAAAAAGGCTCAACGTGTTAGCTTTACTTAACACTGAAAGTGACATTTCGCGTCAGATAAATTATAAAGATGATAGTTTCATAAATTCAAAGTTCAGGAGTAAACCAATCAAAGTTTAAACACCAAGTCTA